GATGTGGTGCACCTTTTACGGTCTTTTCCTTCTTTGTTTTTATTGAATTTGTCTCCTGATATCGTAAACAAAACTTTCAGACTCCAGATGTAGTCACTGAACCACCCACCTGTCTTGCAATTTCAGCATAGGAAATACCACTTTCTCGTAACACAATAATATTACATCTCTTTCTAGGTGTCCAATCTACTCTTTTATTTGATGTCATTGCTTCTTGACTAAATATTAAAAATTTTGACAAAAATTCCTACTTGTAATTGCAGTGTACAAGAAACAGGTCCTCCTTCTACAGAACAAAGCAAAATAATGAATTGTTTCAAGTGTAAACATGATGTCAGCTTCTACTGGCAGTTACTAACATTTGATTGGTTCTCAGAACAAGAACAGTGATTGGCCAGGAAAGCTAGACATTACAAACAACTTCATAACTGTGTTTTTTATTTATATTAAAGTACAGTAACTTTTTTTGTATTGCAAATAATTGAATTTTGTGTTTTGCATTGAATTCAGTAATAAATTCTCTTTAAAATGATATATACAAGTTTGCATTTTGCGAAACGTAACATTTTTTATAAGCATACAAAGTTCAAAAACATAAAAATTTCCAAAACTGTCCACAATTTTGGCCACCACTGGCTTATTTTTTTAATATAAAAGGAGTAATAGATGCTACAGAAAAAATTAATGGCATAGCAAATTATTTATATTAATTATCATTTATTAGGAAATGGGGAAATGGATAAACTGACATTAGTTATTTCTAAAAAACAGTGCAACTTTGGCAAGATCTTTTTTGTTGGAGGGCCATAGATCCGATTTGATAAACTTCAAAGCTGAGAAGAGTCTTTTCACACTAGCCTGCGTAGGAGGAAGAGCTGTTATTGTTAGGGGTACTTCTTTTAACTTTTCATGATCATTTTTATAAGTTCTTGCAAGCGCAATCATATTTCTCTATTTCTTCAAAGGCCATGTAGAAATCTTATTTGTACTTTTTTCATTTTTATATCCAAAGGGGCTGATCTTTAGAATATGGTAACTGGTAGCTTGGCGACATTTTGGAGGTGATAAAGGTTACTACCTGGGACTTTGGTAATAATGTGAGCAGTACTCAGTTCCGATTACGCATTATTTTGTGTGAGGGAAATGAGAGATCATGGGATATGTCATGTGATATTAATGGACGAATTATGGTTCTTTAATCGAAAAAGGGGGGAATTTGGAAAAATATCTGTGGCTGTATATTATTTTGTATTAAGCTTCATTGTGTGTTGTGTGAAGTAGGGTTGAATAATTTTGGGATTGTATGGCGCTGTCTAAAGAGAATTCTAGATTTTTAATGCGTTTGTGTGATAATTCAAAAGAATTGGTTGAATGGTGCATGAGTGTAGGTTTAATTGCGGATAAGTATGAATGTCCAAAATGTGGGAGTGAAATGAGATTGTGTGAAAGGAAGGATATTACTGATAAGTTTGAATGGCGGTGCAAGAAATCTGGTGAAAATGGACATTTTGTGAAACGGAGTGTAAGGAAGGGTACGTGGTTTGCTGAAAGTCGTTTGAGTATGGGTGAGATTTTATTGATTTCTTATTATTGGGTGAATAGATTGCCAGTTGACTATTGGATTTCGGATTTAGAAATTAGCAGTAGGACTGCAGCTGATTGGAATTCTTTTTGTAGGGAAGCGTGCGTGGAATTTTGCAAAAATGATATGGGTATGCTTGGTGGTATGAATGTTATTGTGGAAATTGATGAGAGTAAGTTTGGGAAGCGGAAGTATCAGAGAGGTAGGAGAGTGGAAGGAAAATGGGTGTTTGGTGGGATTGAAAGGGGTAGTAATAAATGTTTTTTTAAGGTTGTGCGAGATAGAAGTAAAGATTGTTTATTAAGTTTTATAAAAGAATATATTCTACCGGGTACTATAATTATTTCAGATTGCTGGAAATCGTATGAATGTTTGGAAGATGAAGGTTTTAAACATCTTGCTGTGAACCACAAATATTATTTTAAAGATCCGGAAACAGGTGCACATACCAATACAATAGAGGGCACGTGGAGTGCTATAAAAAGCGCCATTCCGAGGCATTGTGATAAAGAGAATTTTGCTTTTTATTTAGCGGAGGAAAAATTTGCACAAAAAATCGTTCAATAATTTCATTGAATCCATAATAAATGTGTATCCACCATGTAAGCAAGATTCTGAAGAACATTGTTCTAAATGTAAGGTGGAAGTAAAGTAATTTGGTATTATTGGGAAAATTGTTATTAGCAATGATTTAGTTTAAAGTAATTAGGATTGTAAGCTAATTTTTATTAATTTAATGTATGTGATTTATATTTTAAGTAGTGTTTTTGAATTTAATTATATTTTAATTAAATGATAGTTATTTTTGTGAATTTTATGTTTGTAGGAATTTGGTATATGTTTTAGTTGAAGTAAACGTGCATGGAAATAATTTAAATATTTGACACTAAGTATTTGTAAATTTGCGGTATGAATTCGTTGGTGACGTTTATAATATAATAGATGATTTAGAGGTAAAAGTTTTTGGATATTTTATTTATTTTATATGTGGAAATGTTCACATTTGGAAAGGGTATATACTTTTTCGCGATCAGGTAATTTCATATGTTCTTTTTACCGGGTTTAAAGATTGAGAAAATTGTCATGTATTTTCGTGAAATTTTTCTAATTTATGAGAAAAAAGCAGTGTACATGGATATAGTGAAGAGTGTGCGCAATGCCATTTTTGTGTAATTCTGGGATGTTTTTTTTAAGTAAAAATAAGTCGACGTGTACATGGTTTATGTGTATGTGTTATTTTGAAAAACGCGTAAGGAGTATGGTATTGTGCACTTTTTCCCAATTTTGCAGTGAATATTTGTCATGATTAAGCAGTTTTGTTAGATAAAATTTCTAGCATAAGTGTAATTCGGCTAGTAGATTGTTGGAAGAAGTGTTCAGTAGATAAAAAGAAAAGAAACATGTCTTTACTTCGTGAAGACAAAATGGCGGCGGGAAAAAAAAAAATAGAGGGTTGCTGTAGGAGAGTTGGTCGCCAAAAAATCGCCAAGTTACCATAATCTAAAGATCAACCTCTAAAGGCTCTTGGTTATTTATTTTCATTCGTTTTGCCTTAGCTTTTTCAATATTATCCAAATATTTTTCAAAATCTAATTCATCAGTGAAGAGGATGATAGGACTCAGTTGCATATCTGCAGTTTACTTTCTGATTTGAATACTCCGTTGTTCTGAGAATAATTCTTTTTAAGAAATTCATAGATGTCTTTCTTTGCCTTTTTAATTTGTTCGTTACACAAGAATATTCAGTGTTTCGGATCTACATATATTGAACCCAGCAAGATTTCACTGTCTAGCCAACTAGTTTCATTTTTCTTCATTGAAGAAATTCTTTTTGCAATAAACCCTCCATTTTAGAAAGAACAAACATCCCATTCTTCCATTCTCACCTCCTGTCAATTCTTCAGATTGCAGTTTTTTAGCTATATACGGTCTAGAAAGAAGAGTTTCCAATTCTGCAAGATCATTCTAAAGTCCTTCTGTTAGTGAAACATTATGGTTATCTACATCTTCTAAAAAAGTTCTTAATTCTAGACAACCTCTATATCATCAAATATGTGCATTTCCCCTTTATGGCGTTGCTTGATCAACAATTGCTCCTTTTCCTGCTCACTTTCTAAGAATGGCATCGATTTTGGAAAGTTTCTTGCTGCAATGTTGCTTACCTAAATTTAACCAGTGAGATTTGTAACTAAACGAAGTTAACTAAATGAATTAGTTTAATCACTAATAGAAAATATCATATCCATTCCATCCTCCCTTATATTTATATTAATATGTCAATAAAATAGAAAATAACTATTTGTTAATGTATATTGTCCATAAATAAAAATAGTAACTCAGTTTGTCATTATTTTTTTTTTTTTTTTTTTCAATTCATTTTAATTTCATTTCAAATTCAAACTGTCCAACAAAAACTGGAGTCAGAGTCGACTCTTTTTTAGTGACTCCAGCTCCGACTCCGACTCCACAACCCCGGATATTTCAAATAATTTTGCTTTATTACTGCTTTCTCAATTACTTGGAAGAGCAAGAGTGCCCTCCTGCCCTTCCAAGTAATCAATAAGTTTGCTGAGGGGCAAGTTATGCTTTGAAAGGTCATGGATCTGAAAAAAAAAAAAGAAAAGAAAATTCATGAAAAATAAAGTTCTAACAGGCTATTTTATGCATGTTCAAACTCCATGATCTTGTTCAGTTTCTTTTACTGTTATTTAACACAAGCTTTAATTTAGTTTCTTAATTTCTAACAATATTTATCTTTTATTTTGATTTCTGATTAAGTTTAAAGATACTTTTCCATTATGCACCTGCCACTCTTTTTGGCATACGTGAAAGAGAATTTAAGCATATAATCTAGAGCCAATGATAGCACCATCTGAGGACTGTGTGTGTGCAAACGTTAATTAAACGCACACACCCGTACAGTTTTAAAATAGTACTGCCAAAATGATTTGGCAAGTGCATAATGGAAAAGTAGCAATTTACTTAACTGAATGACTTCAGATTTCTCCAGATTATGCTGCTTTCATATGTAGATAAAGCCTTAACATTTTTCTTTTAATGATAACTTTAGTCATTCATGTTGTCTGTGCTATTAACTACCTTCAGATCAATCGTAATTTTGCATGAACCATGAACATGTTGGTCTAAAGTACAAGATCTCCTGTACAAGTAAATTCTAAAAACATTACCTTACACAAAATCAGAAGCAATTTACTGTCATAGCATCATAAAATATAAACCAATGCTTAAAATTACCTGAATCTGTTACACATTTAGCAAATTATATGTGCAAGATATGTCTACAAATCTAAGATTTCGACTACATAGTCATACTCTGAAATTTAAATTATAGAGAAGATTTTACTTGTCATTTCAAGGCTTTATGAATCTTCACACGCTAAAACTTATTGCTACGTACCCAAATCCTTGTCATTAATCCCCAAATGATTTTCTAATTCTGTGCATATTTTTGACACTAAAGAAAGATACTCCAATCTTCTAATTTCTTCCATATTTACACTCGCTCATGGTATCACAATTCCAGTGTTGCCAAATATTACTACTCAAAAGAATTAAATAAATAAAAAAATCAAAATTAATTTTTAAAAAAATCCCTTTTAAAAAAACAGGTGACAAGAATAATTCAAAGCAAAAAATTAAAAATGCAAAAAGAGGTAATTTTCATTTTATTCCTTTTCTCTAGATAAAAAATCAAATTTAAGCTCTCATTCAATTGAAACACCGATGATCCCTCAAATATCGATCGTTACATCCGACATTAACGAGTGTAAACGAGTGATTTTTCGTATTCCATTGAAAACACCGGTCACATTAAATACATACTTGATCCTAGCTTTCCCCTTGTACGAAATTTCTCCATAGATTGCCCCAAAAGAGTCTCATTTTCCCTCCAGTTTCGTATTACATTGTGATGTGAACCGTGATTGATATGACAAATTACGTGCAAGTAAACCGTATTTTTGTGTTTGCAAAGCTAGAAATTATAAATCGGCTATTATTCATCTAAATGAAATGAATATGTAATTTGAAAACAGACTGTTTGGGAAATCTTCCAGTAGTATTTCAAGATTATCTGAAAACGTTTCATTCAAAATGATTCCAGGAATTTCCTCCCAAAAGAACTATTCGGGTTTCGTAATCATCATAGCACATTACCAACTTCCAAACGTTATCAACATTATCACTAAAGGCTACAACTGCAGGCTTCCTACCGGTGCCATATTCCTTGATATCGCGAAAGCTTTTGACAGATATGGCATCGCGGCCTCATTTACAAATGAATCACTCTCAATTTTCGAGATCATTTTATTCGCTTAATTGCCTCTTTTCTCAGCAACAGAACATTCAGAATCAAAATTGGAACTACTTTCTCAACTACCAGAGTAATCAAAGCTGGTGTCCTACAGGGGTCGGCACTTTCACCGTATCTTTTTAAATATTTATACGCAAGACATCCCTAAAGACCCTTTTGTTCATTTGGCACTCTTTGCCGATGACACTGCCATACTTACTGAAGCCTGCACAACAATCGCCGTAAGAAACCAACTCCAAAACTATCTCATAAAACTGGAAAAATGGCTCACACTTTGGAAGATTAAAATTAACACTGATAAAACCAAGGCAACATTTTTCCGTAAGGAAAGCGTGAACTATTACCCTACACCTCCTGAAATATTTGGCGAAGAAATAGACTGGATTAATGAAACCAAATACCTTGGAGTCACCCTGAATCAAAAACTTAAATTCAGAATCCACTTCCGCTGAGTAGCACAAAAATTTAAAATCACTTCAGCTACTATGGGACCTCTTCTTGGTAGAAGAAGCAACTTATCTACATCAAGCAAATTGATTTTATATCGCTCCATGCTTCGTCCAGCTCTCCTTTATGTAGCTCTGATCTGGAGACATGCAACTAAAACCAATATAAAACAATTGCAAGTACTACAAAATAAAATCTTACAAGAAATTATCAATGCTCCTTGGTATATTTCAAACACTTACATTCACAGAGACCTACAAATAGAATCTATACAAGACTATATTAAACTCTTAGCGGTCAACTTCTTTCGCTCAGTAAAATCCCACAGTAATAGCCTCGTTAGCACTCTCAGACACTCTCCGCACCCAAGGGAAAAACACCAATATACCTGTGACATCCTACCCACATAACAACTACAACCAAAATTGACTCATTCAAGCTTAATTGACTTTGCAGTTTTCACCTGTTGCTTCATTTTGTAACGTTACTGAGCTCAGCCCCCCATTCGAGACCGCTAGCGACGACAAGATTCTGGGTATTCACAGTTCCATTCAGGTAAAAGTGGGCCTCGTCTCCCCATAAGATTTTCCACGGCCAAGCATCATCCACCTCCCTTCTGGCAAGAAAGGTGAGAGCAAAAGTCAATCGCTTATCATGGTCGGGATACAGTAACTCCTGTACACTGCTGATCTTTTACGGATAGAAGTTGATAATATTTCGTAAGATTTTCCATATTGTACTGTAAGGCTGCTATCACACGTCGGTTTGTTTCGGAAGAACAACTGTTTGGAACAATTTTTCTGCTTTGTCACAACAGCCAATCACCACTGCTCGCTTTGGGGTTAACGCAGGGGAAACTGGTTCCCCATTACAAACAAGCTGATAGCATTCGAAGCTGATAGCTGATTGGTTGAAACCGAACAACCTGCAATTTTTTTGGAAATGAAGGAAAAAGTCGCGCGTCTTTGTTTCAATAGTAAACCAGGCAGAAAAATTGTCCGAAACAGTTGTTCGTGTAAAACAAACGCCGTGTGATATGGGCCTAAGGCATATCATTATTCCATAAGGCATATCCATAATAAAAGGTAATTTTATTCCGTATTAATTTGCATTTGTTAACACTCTATTTTCTATTACACAGCGCCAAATATTTCCCTAGCAGTGACTTTTGGAATTATTTTTTTTCGCAGAATCCTTCGTCCCCGTCTTGTTTAATCTTCCTACAAAATGTGGCGTCATTCTCGCAAATAGATCGCGCTACAGAACACTGTGAGCACTGTCAGTTTAATTATGGCCACCCGGTATATCATAAATACATAAAACTTAATAATGAATCATGCATAACATTGCTATGAAAGGAAGGATGCGAAGAGAAAATTGTGTAGCACCAGGGTGCCTGGCTTCAAGACCCTACCCCACATCGAAGAATAGTTTTGTTTACGAATTGTACAGGAAAATAACTTGTACGGCTTACACATAATAAATTCAAGAAATGTATATACAAACATATATACATGGCATACGTAATTTTTTTAATATATAATTATTTGGAGTTAAAAGAGGCCAAAGGTGAACGATAATTAAATTAATACTAAGGTACGTCATTCAAAGATCTCAGATATTGTGAAGAGCTATCTGGAAAGCTACGAAGTTAGTCGTCGAGCTGGTGATTACCTATGAAATGGCATACATGCATATAGATACAACTTATTAAGAAATTGCGAACCCAGAGGTGCGATGTGAAAATAAATGAAGATAATACATATACATGATATAAATACCAAAAAATAATAAATATGTGAGGAAAGATACTACACGAATACAAAGTACATGTCAATTAAGGCATACAGGTACATTCTGGTAAGTTGCCAAGTATGGCCATTGGTCTTTTACCATACAAAGGGTCGTTTACATCATAATTATATACCCTGATGTCAGGATTATTAATTCGTTTTTTTTTATCATTAAAGAACTTGCAGTGCGGCAATAGATTGATTTGAGCTGCTTTTTGCGTTATTCCTCATGTAATTTTAAATTTCTCACGTACCCCGGAAAATCAGTAATCTACAGCAGTACACAATTCTGGGCAGTTTGTAGCTTTTTTCTGGTAGATTTGCATGAATACGCTCAAACCGGGCAGGCATAACAAAGTATGGGACACAACATGGATTTATAAATAAGTAGCTTGTTGCCTATACAAAGTACCTTGTTTCGAGCAATTAAGGAGAAAGGAAGGATACCCGATTAGAAATATACCTTTTATATTCATTTGATGACATAGAAGTGTAAAACATAAAGATCACAAGAAGTTATGAAAACAAGTTATGCAACAGTAAGAAGCCCTTTAAGTGACTGCAGTATCACAAGACACTGATTACCAAGTAAGTATCCTTTCTTCATTCTTTTACATGAGTAATAAGTTTTTCATTAAAACCTTTAGCAGTGAATGCCCAAACAAATTTATTATTGGCGGCTTTGATAGAAGGTCACACAAAAATAAACTTGACTTCGCAAATTTCTGAAAACATTAAAATCAGAAGTATTAAATTACAGTAACATATATTATTAAATTATTTTCATGGCACATTAATAATATAAACATAAAAGGCTGACTAAACAAACTGAGCATAGTACTTTAAAAGTTACATTTTTCTGCAATGTAGATACTTCATACATTCAATGAAGTATGTAGATACTACATACTTGTTAATAATCTCAGCTTTTTGTATAGATTCATCCAAAAACTGCAAATGGCTTTAAGGATTGAATTTAAATCTGTATCGCAGGAAGGGAAAATATTATACATTAACAGAGCTGAATAAATATTTTACCACAATAACTTCAAGCTGGTGTACGAAATATTTAATAAAATATTAAAATTAACAAATAAAGAAGCTAAAATAATCCCAAACACCAAACTATGTTCAATCCAATGACAGGTAAAATTAAGCGTTACAGAAGTTGAATAAGCATCTGATTAATTTGCATGCGTTTTCCAAGCACAGTAACTTAACACTGATGTGAAAAATATTTACTGGATATTATGTTAATCGGTAAATGTTTTATAACGACAATTCAGTGACCGTCTTTTGCTGCTAAAAATCATTTTCACATATCTACACCATTTAGCATTTTTCCACTTTTCGTTTTCAAGCATTCATGCTTATATGCACCCCTGAGCACGACTTACCATAAATTTCAGAATAAGGGTACACTGGACTCCAAAAATATAATAAAAGTAAATACATTTTGAAGATCCTGTCCTTAGAAAACAGGACATCCATTACTGAATGTATGTTGGGCTTCTCCTTATAGAAAGAAAGCTGTTGAATCTTCAGTATATATTCAGTAAAATAAACTTATTCATATATAAAAGATCGTGTTATTTAATATCCACGTCGCTAGCTTCCCTCTACCGATGGTATAATCTACTACTAAAACGCTAAGCTCAGAGTGACTAATATCCCAAGTAGTCGGAAACAGGAAAGTGATGATCAACAGAAGTTAGCTTCATTTTATTTCTTTGTTTTCCGTGCACTTCAAGTTTGCTCCTCCAAACTAGCTCTCGATTAAGAACTAAATTATTTAAAGCAGTTGCTATTGACAGGGGCTTTTCACCCAACATTATTAACGAAAGCAGTTAAAAAGTTCTCATCTCAACACATCGAAAGCCACACTATTGTTTTAGGAGATTATTAAAAATTATGTTGTCAATCATGTCTTTCCATCAATTAGCTATAAAATTGCACGTATTTTACAGAAA